CAGGGTTGAAGTAGGGTTGAAGCAAGGTTGAAGCAGGGTTGAAGCAGGGTTGGAGCAGGGTTGGAGCAGGGTTGAAGCAGGGTTGAAGCAGGGTTGAAGCAGGGTTGAAGCAGGGTTGAAGCAGGGTTGAAGCAGGGTTGAAAACTGGTTGATTCACGCTTCAAAATTTTCAACCCTGCACCAAACCTGCGTCAACCTCGTGATTGACTTCAATCCGGGTTGAACTCAACCCTGCTCCAGGCCTGGGTTGAGAATTTCAACCCAGGTTGAAAATTGTTGTTGCTCATTTCCGGATTGAACGATAAGCTCAATTCACACGAAACACGTGTGAAACAATGCTGGGTTAAATCTAGGGCTGGAGAATCCGATGTTCAACCCAGGGCGGCCATGGGCTCCCCCAGGGTTGAGTTCAACCCGGGTTGAAAGGCTGTGTGAAGTGAATAGGCCTAATGTTTCGAGGCACAGGCGAGCTTGTTATCTAAACATCAAGCTCATTTAATTCTGCCCGTGAGCACACACATACCGGTACAGGTATGCAGGCCCAGATATGGGCCATGTATGTGACCTCCTCCTTGGAAATAAGTCGCATGTCGCCAGAACCGTGCTCGTTTGATGTGGCAGCCTTGTTAAAGAAACTTGCTGCATGGACGTCAATGGGCATTACCGTTAGGTCATAATTTCTATGAGGTTGAGGCACAATTTGTGACAGTGTCAATTGGTGTACCGTACGTGGGTTCTGTAAAAATGAACAGCTATTTCCCTGCATGTGGATTCCAAATTGACATTGTTATACATCTTGCAAGGCTGAATACAGAGGTGTGTGTTATTTTTACAGAGTAAATGACCAACTCTACAGGTCATGACAGGTGGTAAAAGTTACCCATGTAACAAGGACACCGTCACAAATTGTGCCCCAACCCATGGAATGACCCAATTGTCAACTTTTTCAGCCGCACTTCATCGGGATGCCAAAATGAGTGAAACATGTATCCAAAACAACAAAATGTGCTTGCTCTCTCCACCAGTACATGGAAAATGCAAAGTGAAATAAAATTACTGGGAAAAAAAGGGTCTTTGATCACTCATTTTTCACAGAACGGATGCAGTTCTGTATACGTACAGTGTACATGTAAATTGTAATTATACAATGTACATGTATATACTGCATGCTACATAGGGATACACTGTATTTCCAGAAATGTGCCTGGCATACCAGTACAACTTACATGTACATGTATATATCATTATCAAACAAATACAGTGGTATGGTGTGTACATGTACACGTATGTATGAACATCAGAAGGGTTTGTTAGAACCAGGATGATAAGCATGTAGGCCTACATGTAAATAAAGCTAGCAACTGACTGTGTTTGACATGGGAATTCAACCGTACTTGGCATATGCTGTGCCACTGATGCATGAACAGAGGGCACAGTACACACATGTACATGTACATGTATACTGACTACTGTATTGTACATGTACAAAGGCCTACATTGTACATGTAGTATTGGGATATTGCAATGATGGGCAAGGTTCTACCATGGTTCTACCTACCGTACATGTCACCCCAGGGATTAACATTTTGCTAAGGGTTTGCCAAAATGCAGTCCCACCAGGACAAGCATGCATGTACACGTGGGAGTACACCGTACATGTACATGTGCATAGATCTGCATAACAGAGTAGAACAGGTGTTTTTGTTAAATGTCACGTGTGGTGTACATTACATACACTCTGGGTAGATTGGGCACATTGCAGCATTAGTTACCAGTACAGGCACAAACACTGATTCTATTTACGCCAATGTCTGTTCAGCTAGGAATTGAGAAGACTGACATTAGTCTACCGCGAGGTACATGTACGGTGTACGTTACACACCTACCTACATGTACGTGTACCTGCACATGCATGCATACCTCTGTAGGTGTGTGTTGTTATTCACCTGTAGTTGTTATTTCCTGAAGAAAGGAGCATTGCTTAGCCATCGGTTTATAACAATAACCATTAATTTCACTGACTGAGTACTGCTCTATCAAACAATTTTACATAGAGTTCAAACACTGGAAGTGAAGGCTGGGCAACTTTTGTATAAAAAAATTGTAGATTTTGGCGGAACAATGCATTGAAAATTCAACAGTATGCAAAATGTACATGTATACATATTTATTACTGTGGTCGAGGTTGTATATAATGTATGTCGTTTGCATAACAAAGAATGTTGCGCTGAGGCAGGTTTAGAGTATGCACACCGTCTATGGTACTTGTACTGTACAATGTATGGTCCCTGGTAATGGCAATTTGTGTGATATTGCCGAAGATCATAATGCAAAGATGATGCACATGCACAGTACGAGGAGCTTGTCAGGTGATGCTCAGCTACACGTACGGTACATGCTATGTATGTAAATGCAGGGCACTGCACTCGGCATTGAATGTAATTGGATGGAAGGCTCGGTAAAGACTGTGCACTGAGGCGGGGGTCCTGATTATGGGACTGTCATCACTGAGGCAGTTTTTGTGAAAGGCTCAGGCCACCTTTGCCGCACGATGCCGTCAACTTGCTGCTGAGGTCGCCGTGGTGTTCAAGCCTAAATTTGAAGTTTCGTCGCCTTTAGTTACAGCTTGTTCCCGTCCCGAGACTGAAGGCAGGTTTATGCTCAGCGCGAAAGGGGATGCAGATATGCGAATGAGCACTTGAAGCTCTGCAACAAGTGCGCATTTGTACATATGCATGCAGCGTGCTTGTTCTGTTTGAACATTTCAAGGCGAAAGTGTGTTTTTCACTCTTTCAGCATTGCAACCTGGATTTGTCATATGTACATGTACGTATACATGCATGTATGTGCCTAGTGCCCATGCCCAAATTTCTTCAAGTTTATGTATACATGTACATGAACATGCAGTCACAGTACATGTACGTTTAAAGCTACACGTTTACCCGATTTCTAATTTACCTGTTCTTACATGTATAAATATAAATATAATAATCTAATAATAAATATAATCTTTGTTTTGATTTCTTTGCCATAGATATTTTGAGCTTCATTTGGAGTCACAATGGCATTCTGAAAAGCAGTTTGTGTGTATGTTGCATGTACATGTACTACAATAGAGTTTGCCTATCTGCGTCCCACATTTGTCCAATTGGAGGGAAAATCCCACTGGCTGAAGGACACCCCACCTGCCAGGCTTGGACCAACAAGAAGGGATAAGCGCTGGCCGTCGAGTTGGTCGAGTGTTTCTAAATTATGACTGATCGCGAGGCGCTCAAGATGGCAGCGAATCCGGGCCTCGCGAACCCCGGGCCGGCGCCCTCGGTGCCGCCGGCCTCGGCCGGGGGAGGGGCGGCCCAGGACCGGCTGGGCCTGTTTGCCACCCTGCAGCAGCTGCCCACGCTGCGCCGCATCCGCCGGCTGTCAGTGCACGACCGGTCCAGCAGCGACTCCAACCTGGCCCACCCGGACCTCCAGCGCTGGTCGCTGTCCAGCCTGATGGTCAACAAACACGAGATCACGCTGGAGCCTGATGCGCAGCTCATCGTCTACTGGGACATCAAGGACAGCGTCAGCGCCAGCGACTGGATCGGACTCTACCTTGAAGGTGAGTTTTGTTTGCTCGGCAGACTAGCTACTGTACATATACTGGTACATGTATGGCTGTGACAAGTACATACATGTACATGTCTAGTACCCAATAGGCAGGTACATGTATGTATGTTATTTGTACAGTACACACACATATAACTACCCGTACATGTAATTTGGTGTTCTTTAGTTCTGGCTACAGCCAGATACTGGAATTAAATTTTTTTTTTACTGGGGATAAGGTGCATTTCAGAGACTACTAGGGAACTTTTCTGATAAGAAATTTCAAAGTTTGGGCAATTAGAATCTTGTACCAAGTACAAACTAATCTGAAAAGCCAATGTTTGCAGGAAGTATTCACTTAGTAGTTTTTGTGTCCGTTTAATAAAGTATTATTGTATCCGCATTCCCAAGTTTATTCTCTCTTCTTCCACTGACTTCACACACTGTCAGGTTCCAATGTTTTCTTCACTGTGTTCTAAAAAAAAGCTCAGTAATTGGTGAAGAAAGTTGGCTGCGAAGCACTCAACTGCAACTCCAACCGAAACCAACCCCAAAAGGCCGGTACCCAGATCCATTTTGGCCAGTTTTATAATTGGCAAATCACCTCAAATTAAAACAGTCTTCCAGAAAGCAATACCCTTCAATCTACACATTCTTTTACGCGGCAAAGCCACATGTATCTACCTGTGCTGGTTCACAAACCTTTGACAAATTACAACAGGAAATCGTTAATGCTGCCGTGAGCTCATGCTGGACGGTTGTGTAAAATACATGTACCGGTACATGTGTACATGGACATGTACATACATGTATAACTTTCCGTACATGTACGTTACATATACTGTAATTATGCCAACTGTTCAGGCAGTGGTGTAGTCTGGCACAGGTGTGCCCTTGGCTGAGCAGATAAACATTGGTGTACGTGTTGGCTTGGCAGCAGTTTTCTTAGGCGATATTCCTAAGGACGTTACACTGTGTTCTACATGTATATAATAAATATTACAATGGGGGAAGGGCCGAGTTTGAGTTTTGAGTTCCAACAAAGCAAACAATTTACATGTAAAGGTCCGTGATGTGCACTGATTTTACTATATAACCCTAATACTGTACATGTGTACGCACTTTTGTGTTTCAACTACCCTGGTACATGGACACATAACCTTGTTTTAAATTTACTGGTATTTTAAAGCCTTTTGGGGCTCCATGCTGACATTGTACAGGTAAATTTCCATATTCGTGAGCAAAACGGTGATGTCATCCCAGGCACTGAACCTCAGTGTTGCATTGATTAGTGTACTCAAACTACTGGAATTTTAAAAAATATTTTGCTGAGTTTTCATGTCTTTGGTGTCGGTCACATGTACACATGTACCCGGTACATGTACATGTACCCTGTACATGTGCCGTACATACAGAAGCAAAAGGACAACAATTAGCGTTTTTTTCAGAAAAGTTTTCAAAAGAGCAACAGTAGAGAAAAAAAAATGCAAATTGCATGAACTGTGTCTTTCCGATCTACATGTACATCACAGCAACAGTGAGCTCACATGACCAGGAAAGCTAAAAAGCAATTTTGAAAGCTTAAAAAGTTCTGTACTGTACGCAGTACTGTACATGTGCCTACATGGACTTACACATTAGTCCCTGCCAATCCCTGCACTGAATAATTTGATCAAAGCCTCCCTCATTGCAAAAGGTCTTGGCGTTGTTGACCCCTCTGAAATACACACCCGGTATATATTGCCCCGTGTAAGACCAAAATGTGTATAAACCTGTACATGTATTTTTCGACAAATTTGTCCTATCAGTCAAAATCAGTCAAATGACCCCTGTGTGTCTGTGTACCGTTGAAAATCAAGTGGAAGGAATTTTTGACCGTCTGTGACTGTAACATGTACATCAAAACCATCCATTTGCTGTACATACATGAAACAGTCACAGAAAATTTAGTTTACTCCCGTACGCACATGTACACATGTACATGTAAACTTGAGAACGGATAGTACTCGGCATACATTGTACATCCTATTCTTGGGAACTTCAAAGGAAGTTAGACATGGTGTGAATCAGAATTTCATTTCCACTTAACCCGTGTTATACCCTATTTTTTTTTCTAGCTACCGGTACAAAGAACTTGTTGCATTTTAGCCAACAATCTGTGCCATAATTGCACCCAGTTGAAGTTTGCACTTGACACTCGGTCAGAGAGCGAATGTGACTGCTCACACAATCCCCGCTGCCCAACGCTTGATGTACACGTGTGTAGTCGTCTGACATTCTTGTCACGTTACATCACTGTTTGCCCGGATGGCTCTGTCGTAGGGTCATCTGGGTTTTTTTGTATTCTTGGAATTTGGATGGTGTAAAGTCATTAACCGGTCCTTATCAGGAAGAAACAAGTTGAGTAAATATTTTAATTCAGTCAGCCCACCTTGACGTGATGTGCAACTTATCTTCATGCATTACTTCGAAAACAACGCGCTTTGTAAAAAACAAAAGCAGGACATGACGCACGCTGTACAGGACACAAGTACTGGTACCTCCCCCCCCCCGGTGCACGTACGTTGTACATGATGTTTACATGTACATGCAATTTTTTTATTTCTTTGTATTGCAACCAATCTTTGTACCCTGGGTCAAATGACCTCAGATATTTGAGCGCGCTATTCACAATAAGTTTGCAGTTGCACTGTACACTGTATTGCCAGAATGAACACTGGTTATTGTTGAACCAGACTTACCAGACGTGTGTGCACATCCACTGTACCACCTCACCCCACCTGTCAGCGACAAAGACGTTAATCGTTTCACGCACGTACACGTACCTGCACGCTGTACACCAGATGTTCTGATCATGATCAAGGAAACACATGAAGAGCAGAATGGAGAGTTATAACTACATGTACCATTTCAGTCACGGTAAGACATCGAATATCCATGTAAAATATACCGGCAGGCCGACATACATGTACATGTACATGTACAGTGGAATGCTATTACAACGAGGTCCCTTGGACTTTACAAATTACCTTGTTATAAGAGTTACCTTGTGTTATCAGTCATGGAATCAAAGAAAAACAAAGACTTGGACCTAAAACTATTAACTATCCTTGTTATAAACGTTACTTTGTATTTACAGTGTTCTTCGTATGTGTGTTCGACTGTACATAAATGTCCATGCGCAGAGTAAACTCTAATACATTGTAACACTTCTAAATGTGCTGTATGCATGGGCTGTAAACTTTTCACTTCTTGAAATTGAACAAGTTAAATTGTAACCAAAATATTTATAGGTTAAGATAGATTGTGAATTGTGCACATTCCCACTCAGAAATATACTGAAATTTGTTCATCAAAATTGGAGTATGCATAATATGTACAGTGTATACCGGTATGTACATGTATGTATCTACCTGTAGCGTGATAGATTGTACAAGTGTATACATGTGTACATGTACATGGGTAGTTCCAGAAATTACAGGTCCGTTTTTTTTTTCTGTATCCCTGTCACATCTGACATATGATTTTGTAAGTTCAGAACACATTTTCTGATTTCCACGAGTGATGAATTAATTAATGCAAATCACCTGCCAAAGAAATAGTTTGAAATCAATTCTGGCAATATTTATCAAATAACAAAGGTCAGATGTTCATGTAAAAGGGAAACCAAAATGTCACACTTTTGGACCCCTAATTTCTCTAATTACCCACATGTACAGTATACAGCAATCTAATCAATGTGCATTGAAACAGATGCAGTAATTTATGGCACTTCATCAGTGATTCACCTGTCACACCACAGGTGTATTCAGGAATTGTAACACAGAACCCGGTATGCTTTCGACAATTGGCCGTACTGGCTAGTGATCTACCAGTACAGGTACTTGTACATGTACATGTAGATGTACATGTATGGGTACACTGTTAGCGTATTATGGAATGTGGGTGTGTTTGCACCAATACCTCACATCATAATTTACGTGTGTATGAGGTACAGCCTCATACTACAGTTATATACATGTGTACATGTACATGTACTGGTAGGCCTATGTGTGTACCAGAACAGTGTGCTGTGTACTTGAAGGATTTGGGGAGTCAAAGATGGGATGCGATGTTTCAGATTGTGTAGACGAGTGATGATTGCATAAAATTAAGTATCATTCTGTACTGTTCCTTGAAACAGGGGCTGTTGACCATGCATAAACAGGTAAATTTCAGAATGTGTTTTTTTTTTTTGGCATAGCGTTTCCGTGTGCACATTGGTAAATTTTCAACTGTCATGGTAGCATCCAAATTCTCAGCTGAATACACTTTCTTAAATGCAGAGGTACCATAAGGCTACTGGTAATTTGATTTTTTTACTAGTTGCTCAGGATGACGGCCAAAATGTCTGTCTCCTCCATTTGGCGACTACAATGACTAACAACTGACACCCTGCATTTACAGGAATGCCGATAGAAAGTGCTAAGATGATGAAATCTTCCCGGACATGTGCAGTACTTTTGTGGAATTCGTCATGGTCAAGGGTCGGTCTTGCAATATTGATAAATCCGAATTCCAAGAATACTTTGATTATCAAACCAGCGTGCCTTCGCACATGTCATCAAATGGCCTTTGTTTATAAACATTTGCAGCATGTACATGTACATGTACACTGTATTTACAGTACGTGGACCTTGTCCATGTTACATATACATGTACATACTGTACATGTATATGTAACGATAAACAGTACCATTTGAATATGGAAGTTACGGTATTTCCATCATTGAATTGAATCAATAAATATTGTAAACCTTAACTTTTTGGATGTCAGTTGAAGAGTTCCTACTTTACTTGGATACATGCAACAGGAGTTTGCAACACCGCTTTGATTTCACTAGTCGATGTCTACACGCACTGGTATATTGCACCGCCAGTCAACAAGAACACACTGTGTCGCGTGCGCCATTTGCGCATGTGTACAGGATCAGCCATCAGAAAATCATCAAATCAGCCATCAAAAATAAGTCTCAGGCCATTCCGTTCCAGTAATTTTGTGATTTTGTGATTTCAAGATCCAATCTTCAGAGGGGAAAACCAGTGGAAAGGAAAAGAAGGGAGAAACTCAATCGATTGGTTACAAAATTGCATTCTTAGAGTGTACAGTACATGTACATTTATTTCATGGTGTTGAGAGTAAACTTGAAAGCAGCTGAGCTGAACGCACAGGTGTAACTACGGGGGAGAATGCCTTTGCCCCTCTGGGTGTCCCCGCGTTTGGAATTCATGAACAAACTCTGCTGCCGCTCACTGTCTTTTGTCACCCCCAGAGGTAATAACCCTAGTTTCGCCACTGGCCGAACGTGTGTGTATTTGGCATGCTGATAATCACATTATCACAGTGCATACCGTACGTGCACCGTTTTGTGGATGGAAAAAAATGCGGAGGTACATTTATCTGTTGCTTTAGGATGTGGTGAAAGATTTCTTTAACACTTTGCGTGCCTTTCATAGATCTCAGAGGTGGTTCTGGCGACTTGTGGTTCTCATTGCGTGTCTGGGTCACATCGGAGTTCATATAGGCACTGCAGCACTCAAAGTAATTGTGTTACCCGGTTACTGTATGGATCCATCCTTTCTGGTTACAAGAAAATAGAGAAACCTTTTTCCTGAGGTCAGAGCATGAAACATCACCTGCACCGTACGTGGTCAGATTTTGTTGAACATGGACCGTGTTTACATCGTTCCCCCCTTTTTTTTTTCTGGAGCACCAACTTCCTGCCCTATGCAATAACACCGCCCCCAAAGATGGATACGTGATTCTGCCCTGAGTCTTATAGCAGGTGTCGGACATGTAAACAAAAGGAAGTTGTAATTTACACGTACATGTACATGTATGGAAATTATACAACTTGGAGGAAAAATAGACGTCCTTGAAATTCTGATATCCTTCACCCCAACAAGTAAGCAAATGTGTGTTGAAAATGCGTAATACATGTACAAGTACATGTACGTGTGCTTCCTCTATGACACACATACATTACATTGTACTTACATGTACATGTACGGTACATGTACATCGGTATATGCAAATGTACATGTGTACAAACTGTGCTTTGTTACACCACTATGAAAAGAGGGTGCATGTATGTATACATGTATTTTGTTTCCTCTTTATCTAACAGTATTACATCCTCCTAGCTCTCACAAAGCGCTGGCACTTAACCACGAAGGACAAAAGGCTGATCATTGATGAAGACAAGGAAACAGTCCATGTCGCTCTTTTTCCTTTCAGTTGTAGGGTCTGTGCTCTACATGTACATGTATCTGCCTGCCGACTGTTCAGATTTAATCAGAACTGTACAGATTTGTGAGTTTTCAAAGGCCGAAAATCTGACCGATCAGACTTAGCAATTTTGGGGGAAGAAAAATAAAAATGAATTAAAAAAAAAAAAAGAGAGAAAATCTCGCAAATTACCCAGCACTGTCTGGGAAGTTTGCTCTGCCCTGCCGCCACAACTGCACAGCGAAGTGACACGTGGAAGAGTTGAAATCATTTCCGAAATCACACGTACATAAACTGGGGTACTGTTCATGTACTGTACTTGGCTGCGGTTTGAATTTGCATATGCACAGGCGCCCGGACCCAACTGTTCCAGGGGCTTCGCACCAAGGTGTTCGCATTGCACGCACGCTTTGTGTTCTGTTTTTAGACGTACATGTACATGTAGCAATGTTGGCAGGTACAAGATGTACCGGTAGGCCTTACATGCCTCTATGGTAATTTTAACTTGTACATGAACATGTCTCTATGGTAAAGTGAACCTGTACATGTACATGTGCATGCCTCTATGGTAGAGTGAACCTGTACATGTGCATGCCTCTATGGTAAAGTGAACCTGTACATGTGCATGCCTCTATGGTAAAGTGAACCTGTACATGTACATGTGCATGCCTCTATGGTAGAGTGAACCTGTACATGTACATGTGCATGCCTCTATGGTAGAGTGAACCTGTACATGTACATGTGCATGTCTCTATGGTAAAGTGAACCTGTACATGTGCATGCCTCTATGGTAAAGTGAACCTGTACATGTGCATGTGCATGCCTCTATGGTAGAGTGAACCTGTACATGTACATGTGCATGCCTCTATGGTAGAGTGAACCTGTACATGTGCATGTCTCTGTGGTAAAGTGAACATGTACATGTACATGTGCATGCTCATCGTTTCATCATAAATGCATTTGTATGGTACCGGTATTCTGATGTGAACTTGCTGAGTGCCCTGCCTACATGTATGTATGTACATGTACATGTATGTATGTACATGTACATAAAGGCTCTCCTGTAACCACCCCAGCATGGTTCTAATACACAGCTGCCTGGTCCATTGGCTATCACTCCCTCTCCTTGCTCTGTGACCACATGAAGCCCTTGACCCTGTGCATTTCAAGTTGGCAATGAAAGAACTTGGCCCGTATGGCAGAGAATTCTGGGTCAAGTTCATGCTTTTCTATTCATGGACATAAATACTGCTCAGAGCAGGTTTGCACGAAATTCCTGGCTGGTACCCCAGTAAGTACCGGGTATTTTTGGTGATTAAGGTCAAGCACATACGAGGAGGATATGATGACATCTGGTGGGCAGATACATGTACCAAAAAAAGAGTCAACCTCGGTGGTGCATGTACTGTACTGTGTGTCATCTCTCTGTACATGAATTTCGTCACATTTGCCATGCATTAGCATAACAGGACACACATACCGATATACAGCACAAGGCCACTCTCCCCCAAACGTGTTTCCCGACCTATTTTGACAGCATGACACTGAATTTTTTTTGGGGGGGGTGAGGAGATGGGCTTGCATTTTTTTTAGATAACTATATTTGTGATAAAAATATCACGATATTCACAAATATTGTGGTCGTCTTTTACATGGAGTATTGCATCATCAAAGAGCAGTGGCGAGAAGCCAACGTTCATTGGGAATGCCAGCAAATACAGGCAAGCGTGAAGGTTGCTGTCAACTTGGCAAAATCCTCTACACTGAAGAAGTATTTTTTATATATCTGCCCATCTACATGTACATGTATGTTCAAATAAAAGTATTCATGTTATAGAATAATAAAAGGGACATTGAATTTGCCAATATTTGAGGCAAGAAAGACGCAATATTCCAACACAGGAAACTGGAAAATGGACATTAAGGAATCTCTTTTTTGGGTTACGACTGCGGCAAAACACAGCCCTGTAAAACATTGTTCAGGACTTCCTGTCATCGTTCAACCATAGAGTTACAAACCCTTTGTAGCTCTATGGTTCAACACACATTAGATGTGATTTACATGTACACTGTACATGTAATGTCCGCATACATGTATATTATTTTAAAACAATTCATGTTGATGCCCATTATGTGAAAAGAGATTCTGGAAGATTTGCGAAGGTATAAATGATACAGAGCCCAAAGGCCAGTCACTGTTACATCAGGCTTTAGACCACTTGGAAATGCAGTGCCTTTAGGCTCCTGCTTAGCGGAGGATTTTAGGGGATTCAGGAATGTTGTTGGCATTAATTAGGAGGTTGTGCAATGCACATGTCAACGTGTACATGTGCATGTACCCATGCACATGTACAGTTTGATACCTAGCAAACATGTTGAAAGAATTCACTTTGATAGTGTGCTGTCATTTCCGCTGTGGTCGTGAAGCTTCGGCAAGGGACTAATTGAAAAAAGAAAAAAAAAGTCTTGTGCCTTGTAATACGTGTGCATTGTGTACAAAGGCTTCCCTTGAACTGACTGTTACCGGATTCTACAGGAAGTGCCATTAAGTCTTCCACACAGCTTATCGTTCCCGTGCTAACAAGAAGTCCGTAAGTAGCGACATCCTCTACAGAAGAGGACGGTGCATTGAAGGGAGGGGGATAAAACGAGATCCTACGCGGTAGTAGGAAATGTGAGTTGAGGAAGGACGTGCCGCTTACCAACTCGTTAGAACAATAAAAGATGGATCCTCACACAGAACGGAAAGGGGCCTCTAGGAGGAGATACAGGCGCCGCGGTGAAAGGCAAGGTACAGTTTTGCTGCTTGGTGGGGTTTGTAAGATTTCTTGCCCAACAATTTGCTGAACATGTGCATGTACTTCACCGATCAGTACCACATCTTGGAAATGCATTTGTATATAATAAAATGTTCATGTATATGAACACCCATACATACATGTACATGTGTATGTACAGTGTACATGTGTACATTACTTCAACCTGGCAGTGCGACCTGCTTGCATTGTTGCGATGGCCATGTTCGGACGGGTTGTGTACGTACATGTACAATAGGTTGAACGTACTGGTACTCTTTGCCGTACCCGGTATGTTCTCCCACCAGTGTCCAGCTGAACAGGAGGGTGTTGCTTGATGTCAGAGCACCCTCTGTCATTTGTGTAAACATGATTAATTCATTTTATTTGTCAGGCTAGTCTAATATTCCGGTTCATGTAACTCCCAGTATTGACAGGCTCAATGTCTAAAGAAAGTTTCTTTTTGTTTGTTTTGTTCCAAATTTCAGGTGAGAACTCGCCGGCCAATTTTCAGAGCTTCAAAAACCGGGGCGTCAGCGCCACCCACAAGGGACAGATCTTGTGGCACCTGGACTCGGAGAGCTGCTTCCGTAAACGTGAGTTCTGGCATTCTGGGCAGTACTTGGAAGGATGGCAACAAGTTTCTACTGCTGCAAAGGAGTGGCAGTGGAATCCTTGGCTTTAGAAACATTTCAAATGTTGGGCATTTGTGTGCTGAGGAATAGAAATTGTGAGATGCTCGTCAGATTATCGTGCGCACACATGTACATGGGTAATTCCAGAAATTAGAGGTCCATTTTTTTTTTGTGTACCGTCACATCTGATGTGCATGTATCATATTTTGTAACACATTTTCTAATTTTCTAATTTTCAAGAGTTTCAATAGTTTGAAATCAATGCCGGTGATATTTTCATGTCAAATAACAAAGGTCAGATGTAACACGGACACAAAAATGTCACACTTTTGGACCCCCAATTTGGAATTACCCACATACTGGTACATACAGTTTGAGTGACCTGGTGTTGCCAAGTTCTGTATACATTTACAATATACATTGTACGTGTACCATGCATGTACTGGTACTCGTCAGTTGTATTGATTTGAAATGATTTTGATTCTGTTTATTTTGTGTCAGGAAATTGAAAGTCGTTAACTTTGTTTTTTGTTAATGTAGCAAAGATGTCCGTAAAACTCGCTCTCTTGTTTGCACGAACACAACACGCTCTCTTGTTTGCATGAGCACAGCACTGAATAAGATTTTTGCTGTGAAGAAGAAGGTCATGGAAAGAGTGGAGAGAGGAAATGTTGTGTCCCTGGGATTCGAACCCTGGGCTGCAGAGTTGCAGTTTGTGCGGACATGTACAGTACTGCCTTGTGCAGCCAAAACTGATTCATACATACTGTACTGTATGCACATTTACTTGAAGATGCTGCGATCCAAATGAGACGATCTCAACGTAAATTTGCAGTTTCATTTATGACAAGTTTTTTCTGTTGCCCTAATGAGTTCACATTGCTCTTAGATATGTTAGATTTTCATCATTAGTGGGATACAGTTTTGGACACTTGTATTCAAAAACAAGGAAAACCGTGGGCAAGTTTCTTTCAGTTCAGGAAAACACTTTTTCACGAGTACTTTTGACCCTGATCCATGTAAGTTTAGTCCTTTGGGATCGTACTCACTGACATTGGATGGCATGGTATTCAAGTCGTTGAGTTGGTTAAAACACTTGCCCTTCAGCTTTGATGTCAGTATGAAACAAAACCTAATTTGACTTTCCGGACTGATAGTGATCTCTGAAAGGGAAAAACTAATTAATTGGCTCAGCTTCATGTACTCTTGTCGGGATGTGTTTGAACTGCAACAGGAATTGAAACTGCTGGGACTGGAAAGTCACAGAAGTCAAAAATTAACATCTCCTCTCCCCACTTCTTCCCTCACCCGCACTCTTGGATTTTCCCCCAGGGAGGAACTTGTCGTTAGAGGGGAAACGAGAGAGACGTGGGGCGCAGGAATAAGCTAGATTAACAGTAATTAGTCTCCTTGAACTTGATGGGGAAAATTGACAGATTTCCAAGGGGGTCGAAAAGAAGTACCTGTCCATGTAGGATGCAGTTAGCCTTGAATTTCAAAAGACGGAATTCCCTGCTTCAGTCTGATGTTGTGAATAATAGAATTTCCAGAAAAGAGTGAGATAAGATTTTGTTGGGACAGGAATTAGGCTAATACATGTGTCTCCTCCTTTCCTACTTCAGAAATTTCTCGACAGTCTGATGACCTTGGCAGCAAATGTACATGTGCACATACTGCACAACGAATTGAGGATGCAGGGAGCTTGCTGTACATTAAAAATCAGATCCCATTTTGCGTCACATGAAACTACACAGATTTATACATGTACTGTATAGTATTGTTTCCAGAGATTTGTTTTTGACGAGCTAGCCCTAAAACGCACGGTCCCCTTAGCACAGTGAGCAAGTTGTTTTTTTTTTTCTTGCCCCTTAGAACAATGGAAATGATGCCGTGTGATTCACCTTGTTAGTCATGATTTTTGCCTGGATTACGAAACCAGTTTCCATGCACATTTGCACGTAGACACAGTCGACTCAGCATTAGGGGGGATGAACTACAAAACAATTGTAATTGAATTGAAATTTGTTCTGTCTTGCAGCCGTCACCAGAGTTTGTTTCAAGTACTATCACGGGACGACGGGGGAACTCCGTGCTGTCACTCCGACGATAACAGTCAGGAACCCCCATGCCAGTGAGGCGGAAGATCCTTCCCCAGACAATGGCCCGCTCTTCCATATTGCCATCAGCGGTGGGTATCGCTGCAAATCCTCTTTCCTCAATTTTGACTCTCACGTCCCCTTGAATTTATTTTCTCTGACATAGACACTGCCAGAACTGCTTGGAGTTGAGATTGCAAAGATTGTACCATTTGTGGATGTTTTTGCCCCCTCCCAAAATGGCCTTGGAGTGAGGAATAATTATAATTTAAAACTCCATCTTGAGTTTTTTGTTTGCTTCAGTGTAGGGCACAGGTAGAGTCGGATGAGGCTAGCCCAATATAAAATGAAAGAGTCTACAAAATGGAAAGCCCACAAACTTGGGGGGGGAGGAATGGACTATTGAAACATTGGATTACCGACTGGTTCTTCAGAATTTAAGACTCTTTTTTTAGTTAAACATAACAGCATTATTTTAGTACCTAAATGGCCTGTGAAAAGAAACCTGAAGAAAAGTAAGTTTGCATACATGTACATAAGTACGTAATGTTGAATCCATCACATGTCCAGTCACCAGACCGGTTATATGCATGTACATGTAGCCAGGGTTGCAATGGAGTCTGTCTGGAGTCTTTTCACAGGACCGGTCATGAGTAACAGGGTGAACAGTGATAAAGGAATGCTTTTTGTCAGTTCGTGTGAGTAACGTGATTTGACTCGAGACTGAATGTCTAGCGACGGACTCGATCGCAGGGGGACTTGCGATGGATTCGACATCACTGAGTGTACGGCATCAGTTAAATAAAAACCAGTTGGAGGAGGGGCACTTGTGAAATGCGGCATCTTTCAACACTACCTGCTCGGCAAACTTCCAGAAAAGCTGCTGTTGCAAAATGAAAACCTCAACAGGCATGTAGGGCACGTCCCCGTCCATCAAGCGTGGGCCCCGTTAACGAGAATTGACACACTTCAGGGGAGGAAACCTCACTGACTTTTGCGCTCTGCAAGCATACGATGTAACACTGACTCGTCCAAGGCCCCTGCGGTTGCCGCGGCGGACAGAAGAAGGGGTGTGGGAGGGGGGGAAACGTTTAATTTTTTTTTCCCATCCGTCAAGCTGATGGAAGTAGCAGGTGCGGCGGAGCGTGGCAAGTGAAAGCTTCCGCCCGATATCGTTGAATCGGCAGTGGTTGACCTTCACAGTCAGGCACCGATGTCTTCCAAGCATAGAAGTGAGCTCAGTGATAACTCGTTACCAGCCTTATTGCCATGCAATGCCTATTATTTGATACTGGTTCACCGCTCAATTTATTTGTTCGCTCACTGTGGCCTCGTCAGATTACATGTATATTTTTCAGGTCTGCCTGTACGATGTAGGTCTTTGTCTATTGGCACTATATGGAGATACTCTGAAAGTAGGCGTACAGTACATTCCAACTAAAAGTTAACTTGGGAATGGGAAAATCTTTTTACACGTTTTGTCTTCTCAGCGAATTCAGTTTTTTTCATTTCACAAAACCAGAAAATTTTCCGGGAAAAGATTTTCACAGATTTTCCCACACGTGGGAAAAAAGTGGGAAAAGATTTTCACAGATATTGGCACGAGTAAGAAAAGATTTGCACGGATTTTCCTACAAGTGGGAAGAGGTTTCCACAAGGTTTTCCCCCAAGAGGGAAATCGCTGTCACACCTTGTGAACTGTGAGGGCAAGTGTGAAAGCAAATTCTCTGCACAGAATTTCCCAAGTGTTAACTTCCAGTTGCAGTGCACTGTACAATGCAGCTGGGAGTGCTGGAAGTCTATTTGAGACACAAATTTGCCTAGTGTTGCCCTCTTTATAACATAAGGGCACACGTACTTGCTTTGTTCTTCAACATGTTACAATTTTTATACGTGCAGGTTTTATTCCAAACATGTAAATGTATATTGTACATGCCTGTAATTCATGCACAGGTTGTTGGAATTCAATACCCATGCATTTGTTCATGTTCCAGTACATGTGCATGTACAATCAATGTTTACATGCACGTGATGTATTGACGTGTATTATACATGGGATGGTGACGGTACTGGCATGACTGGAGACCAAGGGCTTTTCATAAATATTTGTCTGGGGACTGTTCATGTAATAGATGATATGCCTAATATGTACTCAGTACGTGTATGTGGGTCATTCCATGAGGTTGGGGCATAATTTGTGACGGTGTCAGTTGCTACATGGGTGCGGTAAAAATGAACAGACATTTCCCTGCATGTGGATTCCAACTGACATTGTTATACATCTTGCAAGGCTGAATACAGAGGTGTGTGTTATTTTTACAGAGTAAATGACCTACTCTACAGGTCATGCAGAGGTAAAAGTTACCGATGTAACAAGGACACCTTCAAAAATTGTGCCCCAACCTCATGGAATGACCCATGTACATGTACGGTGTGTGAACATGTCCATAATGCACATGTACATGCCTGCAGGTACGTACGGGTTCCTTCATGTTACTATACCTGATTAATGTAGCAACTGTAACCACAGAAAGACTAGCAGTTGACAACAGTTGCAAACTATTTCACGTTCTTTATAAAAACGGCAACACTAACTGCTAAGTTGTTCAATGTCTTAATGTTATCACAGGCAGACAGACGTGGACCCTGAGGAATTGGGGGAGGGGATACATGTCACATTTTGCAGGTCAAGTTTCCAGACTTGAAAAACGACACCCGCTTAATGGAAACGGATTCCAGGTGGAGGGATGGGTGCTGTTTTAAAAACACAACTCCCAGAAAATGTCACGGAGGCATTTGTACGCAGAGTCTAGATTTCCCCTCTAGAGCGAGTAAAGAAAAAAGTTCGGAGGTGGGGGGGTGTAGAATGTGTTCATGACAAATTGATATGGCGTGGTAACATCACTTAACCTTTCCACTGATAAGGTGAGACTGCTGGTGTAGACACACAGGTTTTCAATTGTCCAATTGAATGCAGAAACAAACTTCATTTACCCCAGGGAGCTGAGATGGTCGTAGGAATACTTGTTGGTCTGATGAGCAGGGATAACACGATAAGACCCCAGACACCAGTAATGGTGGAGACTGTGTGTGTGTACTTTATAAATAGCCATTTATAATTCCATGTACTTTTTCAGTCAGTACATGTACATGTACTTCTTAAACTTGACCACAAGAATAGTTGAAGTACATAGTTCCCATGCTTATTTCAGGTTCATGTGCATGTACATGTACTGTACATTTGCATGCGCTCACTGCGGGAAAGTTGGCCTCAGTGAAAAGCACCATTTGTACGGAATCCCAAAACTATGACCAGTGCAGTGTAGATATATGACTCATTCTGGCTGTTAGCCAGTGCCCCACCTGGCAATATTGACATTAGATAACCTACATACAGTGTCCAAATTTGGCAACAGGTGCAGCTTTGATATCGGGCAGCTGGATATACATGTAAACCTTTGACACTTGTTCAAATTTAGACCTCAATTAAGGCGCACAGGTGGAGAGCTGTAGCTTAATGTGGACACAGATACAGGGCTTATGGCCCCAAGTCGTGTTCATTGTGGATATGGGTTTTCTGAAGTCAGGGTACCGTACAACAGAGCCATTTCCAAGTCAGAGAAGGGACTTGATAGGCTGGTATGGGAAAACTTACATTGGAGACCCTTCAAAACGCCGCAATATGTTACATGTAGGCTCTTTGAATAATAGAAGTGTCATAAACTTACACCCTCTGGTACATGTACTGCGCATGCACTTTTTAAGTTGCCGGGCAGGCTTGTAGCAACCTGTACCCATATTAGCCGAGCTGCCCTTAAAATAATGCTTGTAAACTGAAAGGTGTGAATAATCCTACTGTGTGTTCATGTACAGCCCATGTAGCTGCGTGTACATGTACTGTACATGCTATTAGAAGTCTTCACACATGTAGTACTACCTCATTGGCCAGTGAGAAGACACGTTGTTGTGAGACGTAAGGGGATTTTTTGTACAGTGACCCATGTCCATCTAAGATGAGACATGAGAGCAATGCTGGGAATCATGGACCTGCCGTACACACATGTAGTTGTGAATCGGTTTACTTTTGGAAGCATTATCAAACCCTAACCGCTTCTCAATCCTCCAGAATCCTTCAAGCGGTTTTGGAGGATCGAGGGTGAATGGCAAAAGTGCATGGCTTATTGCAAAGTACATGTATATCATGAGTGAAGGTCAGGGGTTAGACGTTGTGTTGTTCTTGCCCAATCATGCATGAATTCGGCCCGATATTTCTGTTGAATGAACTGATTGCTCAAGAATGCCATTCCCACTGCCTCAACATAATGAGAGAAATTGCCAGAGGATTTTGAAAGATTGATTGAGGCAGTAGACACACCTCCAAATAACATTTTCAAGAAATTTTGGAGGATTTCGGAGGATTGAGGCTGAATGCAATTTTTTCATCTTGAAAATTGGAGGATTTTGGAGGACTGAGGATGGTTCCTAGTAAAAGGCCTAGGGGGTTAGGGTTAATGTAGGAACCTTGATTCCTGACATGTTGGGTGGAGACTCTCCTTCAGGAATTCTCAGGAAAATGGGGTTTGGTTCACAAATAGACCCCTCGGAAGGTGAACAATGAAAATATTGGAAATGGATTATATAGCTTAATATGCAGCACACACTCTGTGCCTTCCAACCATTCTATTGAATTACAGAAATTGAAGTTAATGATTATTTCTTGATTTTGTTCCCCGATTGGTGATTTTTTGTCTAGATCTGAAAGGTATCGGTTTGAAGAAGGGGATGTTTTTCAATCCGGACCCGTACATTAAGTTCTCCATCCAGCCGGGCCGTAACCACACCCTGCCGCTGTCGGACAGCTACTACGGCCAGGAGCAGCGGACGTCCATCGCGGAGAAGACTGTCATGCCTTCCTGGGATGATCAGGTATAAGAAGGCCGGAGGGTTTCGGGGGGCAGTGGGGTTCGCTCATGACGATTATGGGCGTTCTTTCAAAACAGGGTTGTCTGTTGCATGCTTCTCAGGCTTTTCCTTGTTTGCTAGGAAAGAAGTGAAGCCCCAGACCTGAAAGCCAAGTCATTGGAGAAATGTTGAGTGTTGGAGTCTAGTTCATCACAAGTCCCTGCAAGACTATCACAAGGCATCCAGTCTGAAGTCACAAGCTCTTCAAACAAACTGTGACCAAAAAGCTCTCCTTTGTCATTGTTCATCCTCTTTATTACCCGTGACTGGTCTTGTTGAAGGAGGTGTGGCTGGACTTGTGGGGGGACTTGGTGATGGGCTCGACTGCAGCCACTGAAAGTGTTCCAAGCAATGCCGAGCTGTCAAATTGTGACGACCGCATCAAGTCGTTCACGCGCGCTGCTTAAATGTTAAGAAATGCTTGTTCCCAAAACGTGAAAGGGCACGGTGCTCATGTGTCTTGTTAAACAGAGGATATGCAGATTACACAAGGAATTCCAGACGCTTTCCCTCCGACACGCATACCTGCTCAATGGTCGAATGACCGTCAATTTTTTGATCAATGACTTGCGCGGGCACATCCGTCAGATGGGGGTTCCGTCCCAGGGCGTAGAGATTAAATGCATCCGAGTTGATGGGAAGTCCTCTCCCCCTGGAGGATATGACTCCATCCATAGGGTTTCACCTTTTCTCTCATTTCCCCCCTCCCTCTCTCTCCCCTTCCCCCTCCCTGCCTGTCACATCTGCCTTCTACCCCCCTTCATTCCAGAGAAGCATAAAGGGGAAATTTGCCCGGAATGGAGAACATGTGAACATCTGCAGGCATCAATTACAGCGAACTGTGCCACGTTTAAGGGGCTGAGGCATTAAAAAGCCTGATTTATGGCAGTAAGATAGAACCTACTAGAACGATTTTGACCCGCGTCCGCCGACCCCATCTCTGCAAGTACCCAGCATTTCTGACTCACTTTTTTTTTTGGTGGGGAGGTAGAAGAAACGGAAAGATTTTGGGGTTGCCGAATTAGTTCCAGAAACTCATTCCATGCATCAGGTGTGAAGGGGGGCGAAGGAACCCCTGTCGAGGAGATCCATCGGACTCAGGGGATGGCAAAACCTGAAATTGGAGAAGCATAGAGACTAATGATCCATAGCACAGTCGGAGCCCCCGGGGGCCCGATAATCATTCAGAAACTCTGCTAGACTCTGCTGTGTATATACGTATTCCAGGATATCTGCTAGACGACTAAGACTAATAGAAAATTAAAGAGCGAGGGCCTGTAACAGTTTTTTTTGTCTGGCTACAGCCTGTGATTTTTTTCGTAGATCACCCCAGTGTTCGTTGTTTTTTCCATGTGTACTGTAGACCTTTATCAGTAAAGAGTCTTGTTCTCTGTAGATCCACCGGCAAAAGTAATACAACTTCACATATTGATAAAAGGGACCAGGCTTTTTTTCCGTCCAGCCTCGATCGGTTGCATTGCTTTGAATGGTTGAAAAAGCAAGAAGGCTACCCCATGATAGAGGTCTATTGCATATCTAAACACAGCGTGCAAGGCCTTGTTTGGTTTGTAAATTTTTTTTCTGCTCTCCGATTTGCAAACCTGATGTGTAGAGAATCTTTAGCTTAAAAAAAATGTCTGAATCAGCTTAGAGCAGTGTCTTGCACAAATCTTCTCATCCCACTGGATCCTTGGCATCAGTTCAGGAGCCAATTGTGGCTATTAGTGCTGACCATCATTCCAGGCCACCAATTCTGGCCATCATTACTATGATAGCCAGACTTCTGGCCAGCAGTTCAGGCCACCATTCATGGCCACCAGCTTTGGTGACTCTCTGTGGCCACCAGCTCCGGCTACCAGTTTTGGTGCGCCGTTTGTGGTTAGCATGGAATTGTGTCCTCTTGCTCTACCTTGTTCCTGGTTTGGACCACCTGATCTGGCTACCGGATCTTGTCCATGAATCCGGCCACTGAAACTGGCCGCCGGTCTGGCCATCAGATTTAGCCATCTGACCATCCTCTCGCTATCGGCCCTCCTACCTTAACTGGGGTCACCTTTGCGAGAGATTGGCCCCCCAACTTGATTTTTCCCATCTAAGCTGTGGAACATCCATCACAGTGCTGGTCACACCTGGAAGTCCTTGACGCTTGCTATTTTTGGTGATTTCACGAAAACGAACAAATTGACTTCATCAAGCCACATTTACAACAAACAGGCACTGCAAAAACAAGGGAACTAGTGCTAATTTATTCCAAAAATAAGTGACACTTTCCACTGTTAAAATAAAGTTTTTGTAAAAGACAGCTACACGTACAGAGCACGTGTTCATGGCAGTACTATCCACGGGGTGCATGAAGTCTTGAGTCTAATTGAAGTATTCCTGGACATGTGGTTGGGCTTTTCTACCTTGACATTTTGACCAAATAAATCAGAACAAAGCAAGATTTTAGTACGAGCGAGCTTGTCTGTAAGTAAAAGGAATTGCTCGAGATTGAAACGATTAAAAATCTGTCCTATCGTGTACGCCTATGTTTTGTGTTTAATTGTATGTGTCCGCTTCAGATGCCCCCTAAACAGGTTGGGCGCAGCTTAAAATCGTCTTGACTCCCTGCCTGCAAGTTTCGGTTTCCCAGACCTCGACACCTGACACTTAAAAGACGGCAGCGGCAGCCAATAATCCAATTACCTCTGCCAATTAGGCCCATCTCCCTAATTCTTGTCTTCCTTCCCCCCGTAGGAGTTCCACTTCAGAGCGGCGCGCACCGACGTCCTTGAGATGGAAGTAAAGGACAAGTTTGTGCGATCGCGGCCGATCATCAGCCGCTTTCTCGGCCGCCTGGCCATTCCCATCCAGCGGCTCGTCGAGAAGGCAGCACTTGGGTGAGTCCTTGTCATGGCTGAGTCGGCCCCAGCCTGTTAATTGTTGGCTTGACTTTGAATCCTGCCTCCATCTATTATCAGTTAGTGCCTGACTTGATTTGCTCTTCACATCCAGCTACTTGTTGAGAAAGTTGCACTTTGGTAAGTCCTTTTCTGAGTGGAGCACTTTACCTGTAAGTGATTGGTTTGGGGTTCATTTCCTTCCTCAGTGCCTTAGCTGATCCGCCAGTGACACACAGTGACTTGTCAAGACAGTACTTTTCTTAGTGGAGCACTGTGCTTGTAAATGATTGGTCTTGGGTGAAAATCCCTCTTCCGTGTGTGATTAGTTTTGCTCAGCTGATTAGCTGTTCACATCTAATGACTTGTCAAGGAAGCAACACTTTATGTGAGTCTGTTTCTCAATAGATTGCTGCTCCTGTAATTGGTTGGTTCAGGGTTCATATCCCTTCTGAATGCACAATCAGTAAGCCTCCAGCTGAATGTCCATTGACATCTGATACAAAAAAAATTAGCAGTTGGGTGAGTCTCTTGTAATGCGAATTCCTCTTTATGGTGAATTTCATTCGCTCATTTGAATGTATCCCTCTTTGGGATTTTTTTTCAGAGAGCGGACGGTGACCTACAACTTGACCAAACGCCATCCTTCGGATCATGTCAGTGGCTGTCTGACATTCACTGTGGACATCGAACAAGAGGACAGCCCGGAGAGTAAGTAGAAATTTAATTTTTTTGTTTCGTAGTCAGCTCCCTTAAAGATCCAGTCCAGTGTTGCAGTTAGTATCCCATAGGGTGTACTACAGATGCAACACTCTGGATTGAGATGTCCAGGCTTTATTCCTGTGTGTTCTTCTGGAGTGTGACTTGCATCTCTTTTGAAGTGTTGCCTAAGGCATCCGTACTTTCCCTCTACATCTTCAAGTTATCAGAGGAGGACTTTCTAGGTTAGAACAACTTTCTCTTGCTTCTGTGCACATAAAAAGTTAACTGGAGCAGACTTTTTGTCATGTTCCTAAATAGAAAGGGATTGAGCTGTTTAGAATGACTTCCGCTGTGCCCTCTTTGTTCATGCAGACCTTAATGATTTGTGCACATTTCAACGAAAATGCTCCACAATCTTTGCATGCAGCATGTTCACTCCTTAGGACACCATGTACAGTACATGCAAACAACACAACATCTTTTCTTTACACCAAGGATTCCACTCGGCTAAACGCGTGCTAAAGCCATCTCTCCTTCCACAGTGAGGTTGGTCCCCTGGAACTGAATTTCCATGTGTCCCACATCTGTGGTGAAGGTTTGAATCCCACCTAGATTCCCACCCACCTGTTCGATCTGGAGCTAACCGCCCAATTCCCAAATCTTCACACTGTTGGAATCAAATTTTTTCACGAATTTCTTCAGAATTTCTCCCAGCCACTGTGCCGTTGATACAAGTAGAATGACTATCATGTCACTGAATAAACTTGGGATCTCCTTTTTAAAAACTGTAAAGACACCAGTTTCTGTGAAAGGATAAACATAAGCCCGCTGTACTGGACGGCACCCCCCCCCAAAAAGGCCAGTACTTCAGGAAACGTAACTTGATTGAAGCTTCCACAGAAGTGACAGATATAAAGCCCCCCTTGTGCTGTGTTGCTAGCTCAGCTCGTCAGTCCCTGAATGATGCGGAGATAATTTTAGAAACTGTGGCCTTCAGAAAAGCTCAGTCGGAGAGGCCAGTCACCCAATCTGTCACACCGTACAGTCGCTTGTCAGGAGTAGGATCAAGACCAGGAAATGTGCATTAGCAACTTGTGTTATCGGCTCATAAATTCCATCAGCTATTACATAAGGGTATTAGCGTTACTGGTAATTTTTTTTTCGTGTTATTCCTGGTATGATGTAACAGCTTTTTTTTTAAAAGCATGACAGGCATATGACACAAAACACAAGGGGACCAGTTCATGTAAGTCTTGTCTCCGTGGGAGTTGTAAGTTTTGACACTGCCTGAATGGGGATATCTTTTAAAAATTGCAGTAGAAATAAGAAGGAATGAATTCAGTGCTTAATGTGAAAATGCCTCAAATTGCCTAACAATCCGCCCTGAGCTGAAGCGAAAAAAAGACAGGTGGTTACAACCGGGTTCTTGCACGCGTTCTGCGTGTACGCAAAGACCACACGTTCGGGAATAAGTTTGTTGCGTGTACTCAGCGTGCTCAGCGTCAAACACGCATAAACTCGCACGCCTATGCGATGAGTTGGTGCCAAAAAGACTGTCAATTTCATTTAAAAGCACGCCCTCTTTTGTTCCGCTCGGAGTGGATGGAAACAACAATTAAACCTGGCTGACCAAAGGTTTGAAAATGGCACAAGATGCCTCCAGTAGATTTATATTTCAAAATAACAAAATGAAGGGTTATAAATTCGTAACTGCTTGTTCTCTTATATTTTTAGTTGTTATGTATTGTACCGGGTATATTTCTTAATTTGTATTTGACAATTGTCATAGCCTAAAATGGAAATTCTCTGGAATTCAGCTTCTGGCTGCAAATGAAATTTTAATAATAAACCACAATAATAATAATAATTTTATAAAAATGAATAATAAATTTTTTAAAACTAGGTTGGCGAAGGAGATTACAAAGACAGTTGATCAAACAAGAGCACCCATCTATCAGAATTTGGGCTAGTGGCAGAATGTACATTGTTATTTGTTCTAGCAAAACACCTTACCGGCAAGAATGTCATGTACATCATGTATGTTGTATGTGGGAGCTCTCAATTGAATTTGCTCTGGTCATAAATCTGCTAAAGTAATATTTTTCTGACCAGGGTAGGCAGGAACAGCAGGAGAGATGGCAATCCTAACAGACTGTCACAAACAGAGTGTTCTGGGATTGGGTTAGTACAAAAATTTTGATTTTCTTTTTTTTTCCTCAGGTGAATCTGTTGCCAACGGCGACGAGGAGCGCATTCCTGATCAGGTGACTAGGTCCTTGTCCGTCCCAGCCATCTCAAACTTGGGGGATGAAGGCGACGGCCGACAGCGAGCCAGCACGCAACCCACGTCAGCAAATGCACTAGCCGGTGCCCAGCACCTGGCCGCCGACCGAACAATATCGGCTCCTTCCAGTTATCGGGCCGGAGCTACCCGACTGACCAACATTGGGGCACCTGAGACGCCCACGGATGAGATCACCTATCCCATCACCCAAGAACAGCTCTCGGCTGCTGCGCAACGGACGAACTCTCCATCCATTGGAGAAATTCAGAGTATACAGTGTTCCTTAATACTGCCGGACAAGACTGCACCGAATGATAATGATGATGGGGTGAGAGCCGGTTCTGAGAGACGCACGTCACCGAGTAGGCCGACTGAACTCCATCTGCACATACCCAGGTCAAAGGGTGCAACTTCGCAGCCCGATGTCGTCCCACCTGCAGTGGCCACCCAGACCTCCCCTTTGCCGAAACCTTCGCCTGATGCTGCTCGGGGGAGAACTATGCAAGCGGAAGGGTCCCTCGCAGTGAAAGCCCAAACCCCTGATGTGGTGGAGGAAACCATGTTTCCGTTAACCCTGGATGATTCTGAAATGGATACCGGAACGCGACAGGAATCGCAATCGGATTTAGTGAACGATTTGGACGGTGTGTCAGGTCGGCGGGCTTCGGCAGAAGGGGGCACTCTGTTGCTGCCTCCTCGTGAGCTTCAAAACGCAGGTTTGAGCTCCTCCCTGCCTTCCAAGCCCAGTTCCACATCAGCACTGGCTGCGGACCGCCTGCTGAGCAACGAGAACCTGGTCGCCCGCGCCATCCTCAGCTCCTCCCCGCTGCGGGTCCACCCGTCCTCTGGCTCCCCCTCTAACTCTCCGCTGGGCTCCCCGGCCAGCCGGCGTCGCGCCATCAGTGACATCGCCCTGCAGCGAGAGATCGAGGAAGAGGTGAACCGCCTGCGGATGCGCTCGTCGACCGCCATGCCAGCCCGTGAGCCAGAGACTCCCACCAACACACCGGTCGGCACCCCGCAGGTGGATTCCATCTTAGCTGCCTCCAGGGGCCCCGATCTGAGTTTGCCGGAGAACGTGCCTTTGGAGCAAACTGGCACAGATGCGACAAATCAAGCTGGAACTGAAAACATCCAAAGCGGCTCTGCCGGTCCCAGAAACAACAACAATAGCCAGACGCAGCCAGGCAACAGCACATCGACTTCAGAAACAACCATGCTGTCCAGCGCAACCGACACAACAGGTGCTGAAGAGGGCAGCAGCAGCACACTATTGGCTATGAACCAGAACAACATTGGCCAATCAGAGGCCGGGAGCGAGACCCCCCCAGATGGCAATGCATCATCCCACGACACCAGATCCACCACCGAATCAGAAAGCTTCGAATCGGGTACCAGTCACTCAGCTGGTTCCGAATCGTCAGATCTTGCAGCCAGGGGCGGAGGAGATTCGAGCAGACCAGATGGACAGGCAACAGCCAAAGGGGCTGTTGGTAAATCCGACAACGTCTGGCAACGCAGGAAAAAGTACAAGTCGTCTAGACCGAATCTAAGAGGTGGGCTTTGTGTTAATTTCGTACAGGTTGTTTCAAACCAGGCTCATGAGTCCAATTACTGGTATTAGCAGCCACCATATTCATCGTCTTGTCCAAAAAAATAAAGCACTACATTTAACTGGCATATTTACAGCTGGTTGTGGCCACACCAAATCCTCCCATCTCCAGTGTCACATTTTGTGCTCAAGACAGGACAACCCAACCACTGTTTACCTTAGGATCATGATTCTTCGGGGTCCTGTTACCACCAAGAAATATTTTGGTATATATCTTTATTGAGCCCTGCTTGCCTTTCAAATACGGTTGTGGTACAAGACAACAAGCTCAAGACCAAATCTCATACTTGTTAAAGTTTGCTTAACAAATTTATGTGCTAAGCAAGAAAAAGCTCAAGAACCTGTAAGTAGTGTTAGTCCCTTGCCACTTTGTCCGATGGCCCTCTCTTGCTTAGAAAATATCTTCTGGGGTTAGCAGTTAACTAGGTTTTTGAGAACTTGATGTTATTGCTATGGAAGCCTGCATTCTGTGACAATTTGTGGCATATCTGAGGTTCAGGCATGTGAAACACATTGTTAATTAATTTTGGATTGTTTGCCCTGCCCGATGCGTATTATAACACTGTATACTCAGTGTATGCCCCCGAAGGCTTTTGCCAAAAACACAAGCATGCTCGGGTGGGACTTGAACCCCATGACCTCGTGCTTACTAGTGCAGATGTCTTAGCCACTTGACCGCCGAGCTTGCCGGTGTCGGCTGGCTGGATCGAGTCAGATGTGGCAGCGGGTACCGCGAACAACTGTTTCCAAGGATGGATGTTGCACACCGGACAGATCTTTAAAAATTAATTCCCTGTTGAAAATTTGTGACAGTCAATATCACCGGGGTGACCTCGGACAGCACAGACATCGAAGCCCAACGCACCCCCACCACGCCGGTGCTAACCCCGCAACGCGTCACCTACCAACGTTACGAGCTACCAGCTGGCGAAGACCCTCTGCCTGACAGTAAGTGCCCTATGTGATTGTTGTCCGCTGTGGAGTGGCCCATCGCAGGGACTGTGAAAGTCAAGATGGGAATGTCTTTGATCTTTTTGAGTGGAGAATGTGGTGCTCTGTTCTGTTTATTTGGTTTTCACTCGATAACTCCGAAACGCACCCTATGTGACCAAAGAAATGTCCAAGTCAACCACATGACAAGGACATTGTGCGTGTACATGTACAATGTACATCCTGTAGGCCAAGCCATATTGTTATTAATGTACATTAGAGCTGGTGTACAGACTCTCCGAAGTACATCTACCGTACAGTGGCTCAGCCATTGGATTTTTACACTGCGTAGAATATCAAGTGTGTGCTGCTGTGAGTTATGTTCGCTACCAGGCTCTTTTGGAATGGTAGAATTGGGCATGGACAGGAATTTTCAGCAAAAACTTACTAAGAGTTCATGTGCTCGTGTACTGCATGAGATTTTTGATACTTCTGGTATTGGATTGAGTAAACGAAATGTATGAATTTCAGTTGATTTAATGGGGCCCTACACATTGGTACAATAATTTGAAATGCACTTTCCTCTCAGATTGGGAAGCTCGGATCGACCAGTACGGCCGAGTGTTTTATATCAACCACGCCCAGCGCACAACCACTTGGACCAAGCCAAAGATAAGCCACGCCACGCAGCAAGAGCACCACGAGAGGGACTCCCGACAGAGCAGGCAGCAGCTGGACCGAAGGTAAGTGGGGGAAAAAAAGGAAGCTGTGCCCAGGAAGTCTGCAGAACGGCTTGCTTTCCTGCACTGTGTGGACATCTTTTGTTCACAAGTCCACACTAGATATGTACACGTCAGGTGGGCAAGCAGATGTCAAGTTCCCAACTAAGGATCGTCATAGCCGATTGCCCCAAAATTTCCAATGTTTTCAGTGGCAGTAAGCCTGAGAAGAACTCACCCGAGAACTTTCTCGGTACTGTTTGCTGACACAGGCTTTTTTTTTCTTCGTTTTTTTTCCCTTCAGGTATCAGAGCATCCACAGAACCTTACAAAGACAAGACAACGCATCTGAAGAGAGCTCGTCCGCATCAAGTAGGATTTCTCTTGTTGTCATGGCAACCCCAAACTGATCACGACATCACACTCAAGAGAACATCTCCAAAGTTTACAATACCATTGAACATTCCGGCGTGACGATTGCTTTTCCTAATTGGGAATACCTGTTCCTATTGGGAGCAATGTATTTTCATTCTATTGGATTGACCCGTTCCCATTAGGAACACAGCGAAATAAACTTGAGGCATTCCGTCAAGAAGTGTTCTTGTTGGAATGAGAACATTTGAAACCGTTGAGATGCTCTCTTAACTCCGACAGGTATTTTGGACACAGCAAACTTTTTACATTCTATGTAAAAATATGCAAAGCCTGTTTTTTTTCCCCTTGTACAGCGTCAACGGATAGCATTCCCGAGATTCAGTCGCCAAGAGTGCAGCATTCAATCTTGGAGGCGCCAGCAGTCAAGTTCATCACCAGGCCGGACTTCTTCACCATCCTGCACTCTAATGCGGTGAGTTTGTCCTCTCCTCTGTGGCAAGTAGCCACATCCCTAGCCGCATCCACAGATGATGGTACCTGTTCACATTGGAATCATTGCGTTAGCAGAGAAACGCTCATTGTAGATTCACTGATGGAAGGTTTAGTTCAGCGTAGCCCTGTTGGTTCATTAAGCGTAGGAGTGTAGCTCACAGTTCAGTCACAGTGTAATAGGTTTGTGTCAAGAGAGGTATGTTCAAAACATGCAGGTTCTTTGAAACTGAAACCCTCGTTTTGCTGGAACAGTCTTCCTTTAGACGGCTGACACAGTGTTGTCCTTTGTATGGCTCCCCTGTCGTTGTTTCCTGCACTCTGGGAATGAATCGACTTCCCAACTTGGCCAGGCCTTTGATTCGGAGTGGATGTCCGTCTGGTGTTCCATGAAAACAACCCTACATGTAGTTCCCTGCTGGCCGTGCTTCCCATTCAGCTTTCACGACCTTGACAATCAGGATGTAGTATACTATTTCTCATTCATAACCTGGTGTGATTCATTCTGAAGCCTTGCTATGGATATTTTGTAACCATACAAGCTGACTGAATAATCATCCCGCAGGCCGGAAATGACTTCAGTGGGTAACTGTTCTGACTGTGGGTTTAATTCCAGCCAGTGGGATAGTGGGGCATGTGTCCATGGGCAGGACGCTTTATCACAAATTTTCCAAGATGTACTTGTGCATCGGGAAAGTTTTAATTTTTTAATTGTGGGCTTTGCCCCGACACCTGTGTTTCTTCATATGCCCAGGGGTGTAAGAAACAATGTGGCCGTCAAGACTTCATTGAATTTCATTGTGTTGTTCGTTTCCTATTGTTTTCTCACAGGAGGCCAAGGCTATGTTCCAGCGGAACACTTCGGTCAAGCACATGGTCAACCGCATCCGACGCGACCCGGGCAAGTTCTCGGACTACCAACACAACCGCGACCTGGTGGCGCTGCTCAACCTATTTGTGGACCACCAGGCCGAGCTGCCGCGGGGCTGGGAGAGCAAGCACGACAAATCTGGAAAGGTAGAGAATGGCCCAGAGGTCAAAGTGGAAAGGTCAGAGGACGTGCTCAGCTCTGAAAGTCCCTGAGTTGTGGGAAACACTGTTTTAGGAAGATTTTGCAGAAGCTGGTTAATACCAATGTCAGGGAGGCTCATAAATTTGTAACTGTTTTGTTCTGTTTTGACTTGATCTTGGAGAGGATGTCATAAGAAACATTTTTATATAAGTTTGGATTCCATCGGTCTCTGCAAAGCAAAGAAATACAGATTGAAAGTAGGGATATTTTGAGTGTAATGCAGAGCAAAATGTGATTTTTTTTTTACACAAAAATGAGTGTGGATCTTGACTGAAAAGCTTAAAATCCATATTTTAATGAAATCTTTGTACGTATTCGTGCCTTATTTCAATGAATTAAATGTTGGCTCCCTTGAAATTTCCAAAAAAATTGAAATTGGAAATTAAATAGAGGAGCTAGAGCGTACAGAAAAAGATTAATTTCAATTACAATTTCCTATTTAAGATCTTTAAGAAATTAGCTACCAAATGAACAGCGCCCTCACTTATTTATACATGTCCCTAACAAGGCTTTTAAAATTTCATACGATGTTCGGGGCTTTCTTTTGTGGAGCTTGTCGAATTAGCCGGATGAGGGGGAGCAGGACTTTGAACCTCTGTGATGCTCTCTTGACCGCTTGTTCGTACATCAAGTGAATTTGGAAGCAAAGTGACTTTGACGTCATGAAACCTTTGCAGCATCATTCACTGGAGTTGACATGCCTTCAACTTGTGTGAATCTGTCTGACGTCACAAAGTCGTATTTGCTTTCATGCCAGGTGCAAACCGGCCTTTAAATGTAAGCGTACAATCCACTCCTTCAACCCACCCCCCAAAAAAAAACCACTTCGGTGTTCATTGGATTTTGGAAAAATTTACCAATAAACCTGCTCGCCATGAAAAATGTACTTTGCTACTGCACAGTTACGCTACAAGGTAGCCAGTTTTCCAATCGTAACAACTCCTTCATCTCTACCATTTCAGGTGTTCTTTATTGACCACAACACTCACTGCACCACCTTCATCGATCCCCGCCTTCCTGTGGAGGTCACTGACCCCACCGCCAGCTTACTCCAGGCCCCCAACAGGGGGCGGATGCGAAGCCGGAGCGAGGGGGAGGGAATCATCGACAGCAGCCACGACTCCAGCCTGTCAGCTGTGAGTAGGAAAAAAAATGGAAAATTGTGTCCAAACTAATTTGGCTATGGATATGTTTCTGTGGGAAATGTAATGTGTTTGTGGATTCTGGTAGCCACCAGCAAGTAGCTTCCGTAGACGCGTTTATCGGAAGCCATAGCTGAGTGCAAGATAGAATGCTGTGGTCAGATTATTTGGCTATGGCTAACAGTAATGCACACTTTCATGGAAAATGAATTAAGCCAGCCACAGTCAAGTAATTCCGATGTGACTATAGTGACACGTTTGAGACCCGTGCACAGGAAGAATTTTTCAGAAACCTTTCGAGAGAATCAACCACTGAAAACTTCAGGCAACATTTTGATCCTATGGAGGCCACTTTTCAGAAGGTTGCCAAGCAAAGAAAATAATTTGCTTAGCATTTCACGGCTACCAGCCAAAACTTCATGTATTATATACATCTTGCAGCCTGGCTTCCACCTTATTTTCGCTTTATGAGACCTCAAGCTCTTACTTTCAGGGATCCAAATTCCTCTCTACAATGTATGGGACTTTTCTTTTTTCACTAAGATCTTACGCATACATTTTTTCCTTCAGGCATCAGCAAGGGGATTCACAAGGAACCAGGCGGGACCTCCGGTCCAGCCCCGGCCCATCGAGACCCTGCGGGGAGATCAGCCCGCCAAAAGCCATGACGAGGCAGTGCCAATGGGTAAGGAAAATCAGCCTGTAGTCTGGCCTCGCATGCCCTCCGTGCATGACCCGCTGAGGGCGGTATTGCTGCTTGGATTTCTTCGTCATTTAGAGAAGAAGTTTCCAATCCTGTTGGTGATATAGTTCTAGAGTCTTTGGGTATTTCCACTCAAAGTGGAAATGTGTAATTCCTTACAATATAGTGAAGTTTTTGGAAAAGTAAAGATTGACATCAAGGTAATGCTGCAGTCTGTTGTTTATCTTGATTTTATCGAAAAACCTTCTTCAAGTTATGAAAAATGACCAATACTAAGCATTGTCCTGGAATACACTATCACTTTTACATGAAATTTTCAGGTTTTAAAAAAGACAAGAGAGAGTTTACGTATACAGCAACATCTCAAGTACAGGGCTTTTAACCCCTTCGCTACGGAGGACTGCTACTACCACACCATTGTGTGAGGATTAGTGCCTACCACACATAC